TTGGGTCTTTTGTTCCCTGACTACCTACTTTTCCAGACCACGTCATAGCTGCTTGAGCTGCTACCTACTGCCTTGCAGGGGGCATGTTAACAGGAAGCTGGAGTCAGGACAGAGCTGGACTTGAACCTAGGCACTTCCATATGGAATGTGGGCATCTCATAGCATTGTCCCTATAGCTGTGCCCAATGCCCACACATAGTTTGTATGTTTTAATAGAAGGGACTGCTATCCTCACTTTGCTTTTATGAAGTTTACTTATTTTGATAGATTCACATTTTCCATGGAGCATTTAATGTCCATTTATAGAGCTTCATTAAAGACAGCTTATTGATACTTTCATTGGGATTCTTTGAAGCCTGTAAAATAACTAAAGGAGAGCTGGCTGTTTACTGACGTTCAATTATGCTACCCACTTACTTTCACTTTTGTTTAAATCTATCTAAATGTCTTTAAGGAGTAAAGTTTTTCTCATACTTCATTTTCTATTTATCTTATTACAAAGATTTATTTATTTATTTGAAAGGCGGAGTGACCTGGAGGGAGGGAAAGGCAGATAAGGAGTGATCTTCTGTCTGCCAGTTCTCTCCCCCAGATGACTGCAACAACCAGGTCTGGGGCAGGCTGAAGCCAGCAGGGGCCAGAATGCTTGGGCCCTCTTGTGTCTCCCTCCCAGATGCACTAGCAGGGGCTGGGTTAGACGTGGAGCATCTGGGACTCAATGTGGCTCTTCAGTATGGGATGCCCATGTCACTCTGCCACAATGCTCGCTTCCTCATTTCCTTCTTAACTGTTCTAAAATTTATTTTCATGTGATTTGAGAGGCTGGCAGGGGTTGGGAGGAGTGGTTGTGGAGGAGGAAGGAGAGAGATCGTCCATCCCTTGGTTTCTTCCCAAATGCCTGAAACAGGAGTCCAAAACTCCTTCTAGGTCTCTCTCATGTGCTCTGGGGACTCACATACTTGTGCCATCGCTGCTATCTCCAGGGTATACATTCACTGGAAGCTGGATTGGAAGTGGAGAAGCTGGAACTCAGAACAGGCACTTTGATTTTGGGTGCAGGCGACTGCTGTGTCAAATACTTTACTCTTCTTCATGTTTCTCTCTAAAATTGCTGTTAAATGTTTTATCTTCCTTGTGCCTCTGAAAAATAACATTTTCTCTACCATAATATCCCCTAAATGGCTATTGTTTTGATACTTGAGTGCTCCTTATTTGTTGAGATTATAGCCTTCTACTTTACTTAATATATTTATTTTTATTTGATTTAATTTACTTATTTTTTTTTGAAGGCCCATTTTATTTATTTGAATGGCAGAGTTACAGACTGAGAGAGGGAGGAACAGAGAAAGATCTTCAGTCTGCTGGTTCACTCCCCATATGACCCCAACAATAGGGTCTGGGCCAAGCTGATGCTGAGAACTTAATCTGGGTCTTCCACATGGGTGGCAGGGGCCCAAGTACTTGAACCATCGTCCCTTGTGCTCCCAGGCACATGAACAGGTAGCTGGATCAGAAATGGAGCAACCGGACTCTACCTGCTGCCATATGGGATGCCAACATCACAGGCAATGGCTCAGCCTGCTGTACCACAGCACTGGCCCTTGAGTACCATTATTTTTGAGTTAATTTTGCCGTGGATCCCGTGAGAGAAATGTGACATAGTTTTCTAGTTTTTCCTAATTTTATATGCTATTTCTCTTGTTTAATTGGATATGGTCACACCTTTAGTACAATGTGAAATGCTATGATGATAGTTGGTATCCTTGTCTTATTCTTTATCTTAGGGGAGAAGCCTTTACTTTTTTTTTTTTTTTTAAGGTTTATTTATTTATTTGCAAGTCACAGTTACAGAGAGAGAGGGAGATCTTCCATCCAATGGTTCACTCCCCAATTGGCCACAATGGCAGGATCTGGGCCTATCTGAAGCCAGGAGCCAGAAGCTTCTTCCTGGTCTTCCGCGCTGGTGCAGGGGCCCAAGAACTTGGGCCATCTTCTACTGATTTCCCAGGCCATAGCAGAGAACAGGATCGGAAGTGGAGCAGCCGGGTCTTGAACTGGCACTCACATGGGATGCCTGTACTTCAGGCCAGGGCATTAAGCCGCTGTGCCACAGAGCGCTGGCCCCAAGCCTTTAATTTTTTCCCCTTCTATAAGATGGAGATTTTAGGTCTAAGGCTGATGTCTGATTATGTTAAAATCTTGATGATTTTTTTACTTTTTTTTTTTCAGGTACAGGTATGATAAATAAGATCAATGTTATCTTAATGTTATATAATGTTAATAAACATTTCCTTCATTTTCAGTGCTATTTATTTTTTTTGCCCAGGTTTTAAGTATGGGCATTATTTGGTGTTTGATACTTTGGTAGAAATATTTTGAAACAGTGTTGGCTTAATGCTTTATTTGTGGGGGAGTCGGTGGTTGTTTGTTTGTTTTTTTAAACCAAAGAAATTGGTTTTCAAATTTTTCTTTTAAGCTTTGACTAAAGCTTGGCTAAATTTTATGAACCATGTTTCTGTGGAGAGTTGCCCATTTGTCGATATTTTAAGATTTAGTGCTTAGAAATCTGTGTAAAAGTCTTAAAATTTTAAACATCTTCTATTGTCTATTTTCTGCCAGTTAATTTTAGGTGTTTATACTTCACTCATTTATTATGGGTTAGGTAAGCTTTCTAGCTATATTAAGATCAAAGATTTTGATTAATTTCCTGTGCCCTTATTAGTCTACTTCAATGCCCACAATATTTTTCTTTTTATTCTGCTTCTAAAAATGGTCTTTGTTGTTTCTTTTTTAGTATGTGCTGGGGATTTAATTGATTGATTTTCATTGATTAAAATATTCAAAGATGTAGATGGCTTTTTTGAATTATGGTCTTAAATAGATCCCATGAATTCTCACAAATAATGGTTTGATTCTGTAATATCTTAATAGGCAGTGGGAAATTATAGTAGTCCTGTGGTTGGGTGATGGAAGAGGTTGGCTTGTTTCGAATGTTACCAAATGATCATTTCATGACCACTGCCTCTCTTTCATGTTTATTCACATGAACCTGAGTTAAGTGGTTCGTGCTCATTATTTTATTTCCACTCTATAGCATTGTTTTGTGGTATTTTTCCATTTCCAGAAAAGGGAACCTTGCCATATAGATATTTATGGAATTTGCCCAAGCATGTGTAATGAGTATGTTGTTATTGCTCAAATTTGCTGAATGCAAAGCCCCTGCCGTGTGCCTTGGCAGTAATGTTGTGAGGTCACAGAGGTATGGAACAGTATGGCATAATCAGAATGTTTGCAGCGTGGTGTGACTGCAGTGACGTTGGCACTTAGGGCTATCGCATCTGGGTCAGGCAAACATAGTATTTCATTGTGGTACTGTTAACCAAGATGGAAAACATGAAGCAAAGCAGGTTAATATGAAACGATGGGTGAGTTTGATACACCTGTCCTACAGTTAAATGGAACTGCCTGGGGATAAGATGCGTCTATGGATCAGGAGGTCTGGAAAGGGATATGTGCCAGAGGTGTGGATTTGGGTGTCATTGGTTTGTAGATGGTGATATAACTAATGGCCTCGGGTGTGGTAGCCCAGAATACTATGGACAGCGAGATCAGGAGGCATAGGAAGCAGTGAACATGTAAGGTTTAGTGGAGAAAAAGCCTGAAAAGGAAATGTGGACCAAACAGTCCAAGTATTAGGGGGGAATCTAGGAGATCAGAGTTTCACAGAAGCCAGTAGAGGGGTTGGAAGAAAATGAGGGTCATGAGTGTTGCACCATGTGCTCTGGACAAGTGAAGAAAGCTAAGCATGGAAGTGTTGATTTGACGTGGTAGTTACCGAAAGATCACGATTTAAACATTTTTTTAAAGATTTATTTATTTATTTGGAAGTCAGTTACACAGAGAGAAGCAGAGGGAGAGAGGGAGAGGCCGTCCATCTGCTGGTTCACTCCTCAATTGGCTGCAATGGCTGGAGCTGGGCCGATCCGAAGCCAGGAGCCAGGAGCTTCTTCCTGGTCTCCCATGCGGGTGCCGAGGCCCAAGGACGTGGGCCATTTTTTTATTGCTTTCCCAGGTCACAGCAGAGAGCAGGATCCGAAGTGGAGCAGCCGGATCTTGAACTGGCACCCATATGGATGCCAGCACTTCAGGCCAAGGCGTTAACCCGCCGCGCCACAGTGCCAGCCACATGATTTAAACATTTCTAAAGGTTGATGTATTTGACAGGCAGAGTCACCGAGAGGGAGCCACAGAGTGAGAAACTTTTTCCACTTGTTGGTTCAATCCCCTAAGGCCCTCAATAGCTATATTTGGGCCAGGCTGAAGCCAGGAATTAGGAATTGCATCCTGGTCTCTCACGTGAGTAGCAGGAATTTGAGCACCTAGGCTGTTATCTACTGCCTCCTGGATGCCTCAGCAGGGAGTTGGATCAGGAGTAGAAGTGAGATTCCATCAAAGACCCTCTAATACGGGATGTGAGCATCTCAAGTGGTAGCTTAACCTGCTGTGCCACAACGCCCACCCCTCGCCCATTTTATGGATGGGGACATTGGGACACAGGGAACTTAAGTAATTGTCCATTGTGCTGCACCTGGTGTGACAGTAAGGTACCATGCTATACTAATGTTCATACCTTGAACCATTCATCAGTAACATTTCACTAAAAGTATAATTCACAGTTAGAAGTTGGAATATTTTGATATCTTAGAGAAGTCTCGTCATATAGAATAGAAAAAATTTCTGAAAAATATATAACCATTACATATGTGAATTAGCATTTCAGTTTATGTTAAGTTAGAAACAAGAACAGAAACTGAAATGCTTAGAAGGCAGAGGTCTAGAGTAGCTTAGTTAACCTGTATGGAACATGATGTCTCCAACACTCAATACTGTTCCATAGTGAAAGTGTAGACAGGGTAATTAAGTAAACATTAAAGTCTTAGAGTTTCCATATATTCTTTATATTCTTGATAGCTAATGGCCTTATAAATGTCTTTCTTCAGGGAAAAATGCAATTTCCATTGTGAGCTGCCTTCCAGAGCTTATGGTAGAACTCCGCTGACGTTGCTCCGATGCCAATGTGGAATAAAGGTCTTTATAATCTAGAAATCAAGAAATATTTTATGAATGAGTTACTGATGACATGACTGAGTTGCTCTTCTTAGATTTTAAAACACATAATAGACATTTATTTATAGTTTGAGTGAATGGTTTAAAATTATATAAATAGAACGTGCTGATTTTAGTCCTCATCTGTGTTGTTTTCATACTTGGCAGTAGGCTCTCTGTTCATAACCTTTGTATCTGAACTCTCATCACAGCCTAATTGTGGCTTGTTGTGAAATTAATTGCAGACACGTATTTCATCATGATTTTTCTGTAAAAACAGTTCCGTAAATTAAAGTTGACTTATTTTTAATAAGAAAAATCTTGTTTCTTCCAAAAGAAGAACTCTTAATGCAGAGACTGTTGAATCTGTTGTCTCAGAGTGAAGTTTTCCCTCCTTCCTCGTCTTATTGTCTGTAGCGTTTGGTGGGTTGTCTGCCTCCTGTCCTCAGGTCATTAAGAACATGAGTGCATCTGTCTTGCTCGCTGTGGTCTTACGGGTGCCCAGGGCACCCTGGTGCATCTGTCTTTTAAAAAAAATTGGTTTATCCTATTTATTTGAAAAGCAGAGAGGGAGAGAAGGGGAGAGAGAGAGAGAGAGAGAGAGAGAGAGAGAGAGACAGAGACAGAGAGACAGAGAGAGAGAGAGACACCTTCCATCTGCTGGTTTACTTCCCAAATTGCTGCAACAGCAGGGGCTGGGCCAGCTGAAGCCAAGAGCTTATTCCCGGTCTCCCACATGGATGCAGAGGCCCAAGCACTTGGGCCATCTGCTGCTGCTTTCCCAGGTGTGTTAGCAGGGAGCTGGATCAGAAGTGGGGCAGCTGGGAATTGAACCGGCACCCATATGGGATGCTAGTGTCAAAGGTGGCAGCTTTAACTGCTGTGCCACTACACCACCTCCCATTTTTCTTTTTACTAACTGAATTTTTCATTATGTGAATGGATATTAATAAATTTCAATTTGTTTTTTTCTGAATTGGAAAAGCACTTCTGATTTCGACGTGCTAGTATAACACCAAAGCATTCTGCAATCATTTTGTTTGTCTGGGTCCTACGTGGAAATGCCATGTTAAATGTAGAAGCCCGAGTTGTGGATTTTAGATAATGGGCCCGGAGGAACAGTCCCAGTGTCCCAAGTTTCAGTCTCCTGGCGTTTTCTTTGCTCAGCCTTTGTGGTCTCCCTCTCCTCCCTTTCTGCCCTTCAGCCCGTCCTCTCTCGGCTGTCTGGTTTACTAACCCAAGCCCCACTGTTGCCGCCCACCCTCAGTGTCTGCAGTCCACCTGTCACCGGCTGCTCCTGACCTCGTAGTGGACCGCGACCACCCTGCCGCTCTCGGCCGCCTCTCCTCTGATGCCGTCACTTCCTCCCCGGAGAATACACAAGCAGACAACAGCAGTGTGAGTTAGACTGCCCCTGAGCCCAGATGACGACAAGCCCTTCAAAGTGAAATTCACATACATAGAAAATTGCGCACTTACTTGATTGATATTTTTTTGCTTTGCTTTTTATATGTTCCAAGAGGAATATTTCCTTCTTCTTGCTCTTTTTATTGAGAGGCAGAGTTACAGAGGCAGGGACAGAGACGTCTTCCACCTGCTCGTTCATTCCCCACATGGCTACAGATGCCAGTGTTGGGCCAGGCCAAAACCAGGAACCAGGAACTTCTTCTGGGTCTCCCACATAGCTACAGGGGCCCAGAGACTTGGGCCATCTTCTGCTGCTTTCCCAGGCACATTTGCAGGGAGCTGGATGGGCAGTGGAGCAGCTGACTCTTGAACCGGTCCGCATATGGGATGCCAGCATTGCAGGCAGAGGCAGAGACCACACTGTTGGCCTCTAAGAGGAATATTTCTGCAAAAGATGTTCTGATTTTTGAGGCTAACACTTAGAATTCAAAAAAAGAAAAAATACAACTGGGTAATATGACTCTGTTGTGGCACATTACAAAGTATTTAAGTTGTCCTTGTTAACAAAATATGGTGTAAGCATTTTGTATGTTAAGTTAACTTACCTTTGTATTTCCAACCCTGAGCTCCCAAAAGGGAAAATAAGAATGAAAATCATGATTATTTCTCTTTTATTGGAGAGAATCTTATATTTTTAGGTATTAGAGCATTGATTTCACTTTTAGAGTAAAAAGCAAAAAGATAGCATTCCTAAGGTATGTTCATTAAACTGGGCCTGGTGTAAGGTGCTGGAGTTAGATTTCCCAAGTGCAGTTCACAATTTTAAACTACCTGTTAGTTTTGTCAGAAAATAGTGACCAGGGTTAGGCCATTATTAGATTTGAAATTCTGATTTATAATTTCAAACATAAGCAGATTTTTAGGCCTTTGTGTAAATTTAACAATTGGTGAGTGGCAGATGTGTCTACCCTTAATTGTACATTTTCAAACATAAGAAAATGGTTTAAATATTTGTTTTTTAGTACATGGCTGGCAAAATCAGAAATGCTTTAGACTTTAAATCTGACCAGAGATTTCGTCTGTTAGCACGAAACGATCAGGTTGTTATATGAATTTGAGGTCTTCTGCTACAACTTAATTCTCAAATGTGGTTTCTGGGGCCCTTTGGGCGTTTTCGTTATTGAGAGAGTTCCTCTCTTGTGTTTTGTTTATTTTTTTCTCATGTGGTTTAGATCCAGCAGTCGACGCACACTCATCTGGATATCTCACTGTTTCCATTGGGTTTAACTGATGAGAAAAACCATGGAACACTTGCCCTCGTGGACGACTCTGAGGGTCCCAGAGCCAACGTGTCAGACATCGAGCTTCAGCAGAAGATTACAAGTCTGGAGATGAAGCTCAAAGCATCTGAAGAAGAAAAACTGAGAATTAAGAAGGTGTGTTACCAGACTTATAGAATGGGGAATGCCCTAAACAGCACTCTGGCCCCAGAATCAGCCCTTAAGGCATTCAGATCTGGCTAAAAAGTTCATCAGAGTATTTCAGGCATGGAAAGCCAAGATGCTGTGGCAAAAAATGACCTAAATGAAAGATCTCTGTGAGTGAGATCCCAGCAGAAAGAGCGGGCCATCAGAGAAGGAGGTACCTTTCTCTAAAGGGAGGAGAGAACTTCCATTTTGATATGGCCTTGTCTAAATAAGGTTGGAGTTGGTGAACTAAAGAGGCTTCCATAGCCTTGACAACTCATGACAGGAGCCTCGAGTGATTACTGATGTAATAAATAAGAGTGTCAATTGTTAACAACAGGAGTCACTGTGCACTTACTCCCCATGTAGGATCTCTGTCCTTAATGTGTTGTACTATGAGAATTAATGGTATAACTAGTACTCAAACAGTACTTTATACTTTGTGTGTCTGTGGGTGCAAACTGTTGAAATCTTTACTTAGTATATACTAAGTTGACCCTCCATATATAAAGGTAATTAAAAATGAATCTTAATGAAGAATGGGATGGGAGAGGGAGTAGGAGATGGGATGGTTGGCAGGTGGGAGGGAGGTTATGAGGGGAAAACCCTCTATAATCTAAAAGTAACACTTTCGAAATTGATATTTATTAAGTAAAAGTTTTGTAAAAAAAAAAAGTGTGTCTACAGTTGCCTTGGAGATAAGTAGAACTGTATATACTGGAAATTTGACAAAATCCTACGTGTTGACTAGGAAAAGTCATCAGTGGAAGAAGATAGTGTCTTCCCAGGGTGTCAAGCTGGTGAGAAATCTGTAGTCTTTAGGGCAGTGTGCCTTCCACACCCAGGCCTTCCTGCAGCTGCACAGCAAACTGTGTGTGTACTGAACATGTACGTTCATTGGTTTTTTGTCATTGTTCACCAGGCAGTACAGTAGAACGGCCATTTGGAGAGTGTCTGCACTAGTGATCCAGGGATGACTGAAAGAGTACAGGCGGATGTGCATAGGTTATAAGCAGATACTCTGACAATTTATGTAAGGGATTCGAATGTTTGAACTTTTTGGTATACCATGGGACTGGACTCAGTCTTCATGGGTTTCAAGAGACAGAGGATAAGAGAGAATCTGTCTGCTGGCTTGTACCCCAAATGCTTGAGTGGCTGGGATTGGCCAGGGGTGGAGTTAGGAGTGAGGAGGAACTCAGTGGGTAGGTGGCAGGAACCCAGTTACTTGAACCATCATTGGTACCTACTGGGGGCTACATTAATAGGACCCTGCAGTCACAAAGCAGAGCTGAGAATTGAACCCAGGTACGCTAATATGGGAAGCAGGTGTCCTGAACAGCATTTTAAGCTAGGCCAAATGCCTGCCCTGTGTTTTTGTTTCTCTCCCTTCCCTCTCCTTCCCTCCCTCCCTCTGGTTCCCCTCCTTTCCCTCTCTCCCTCCCTACTTCCCATTCCCCTCCTTTCCCTCTCTCTCTCCCTCCCTCCCTTCCTTCCTGTAACGAATGCTTTCCTTCCGGGGGCTTATTTTGATTTTTAAAGCAGAATGTTTTATGTTTTTATGCAGATTTGAAATTTTTTAACATTGTCTCCCTGTGGGAAGTCAGGCATCATGGCATATTTGACCAGAATGCTTAGAAAGAAAGCTGTTTTAGTAAATTATTTATGTATACTCTGGTTTGTCTTCCCTACAAATATATCCATAGGGGCTGGCGCCGCGGTTCACTAGGCTAATCCTCCGCCTTGCGGCACCGGCACACCAGGTTCTAGTCCCGGTCGGGGCGCCGGATTCTGTCCCGGTTGTCCCTCTTCCAGGCCAGCTCTCTGCTGTGGCCAGGGAGTGCAGTGGAGGATGGCCCAAGTGCTTGGGCCCTGCACCCCATGGGAGACCAGGATAAGTACCTGGCTCCTGCCATCGGATCAGCGCGGTGCAATGGCCGCAGCGCGCCGGCCGCGGCGGCCATTGGCGGGTGAACCAACGGCAAAGGAAGACCTTTCTTTTCTTTCTTTTTCTCTCTCTATCACTGTCCACTCTGCCTGTCAAAAAAAAAAAAAAACAAAAACAAAAAACAACAACAAATATATCTATAGAAGAATCTCAGCAAATCTTAAATGACAATAAGTTGAAATGCTGTGATTTTATGAAATTGAGTCATTTTATCATTATGTTAGTGTTTGTGATTGGTCTACAAATTAGAATGAGGTATATAATTTATAGTACTACAAGATTTTTGCCATATTTCTTTTCTGTGAGTTATTTTCTTGATAATTGTTAGCTCTTATGTTCATCGAAACAAGTAAATCTATTTTATGCCATTAAATGTTAAAAAGTCTTTGTTTGGATTTGTCTTTTAGGATGTGGAATCGCTGATGGAAAAGCATAGTGTCTTAGAAAAAGACTTCCTAAAAGAAAAAGAACAGGAGGCTCTCTCTTTCCAAGATAGATACAAAGAACTTCAGGTAAGCCCAGTGCATTTACAGTTTTCAAGATGGGCCTTTTAGGAAGTGTGTGTCAGTATTTAAAAAGTGTTCAGTTAAGAGCTTAGCAGTGGATAACCAGACACTTGCTTAGATCTGTAAAACGCGGACCATCCTGGAAGAGTATGGACCCGTGAGAAGCCCTGAGGATAGTAGTTTTGAGTTCGAAACAGTTTGGTGAGTAACACTCTGCTTGTGATGGATGAGCTCTGGGCATTGGCCATCCTCATTTTTACTGCTGTAGTTACATACGAAGGCTGTAGACTGCTCTGTACCCAGCGCTGAGCGTTAACCATTGTACTGAACTGCGGTCACTTCCTCCTCTTTGTCTTCCCCAGTCACCTTACTAAGCTTGCTTCTCTGCAGCCGTCCCCACCCCAGTAAATGTGACTCATGCTTTCTAAGCACTACATCTGAAACCCACTCACTCTTACTCATTTCTGAATTTGCTTCCCCTGTGTTCCTGTAGCAGAAGTCGCCTGCTCTACCTTCAGAATGTCCTGATTTTTTCCACTTCCCTTCCTGCTTGGTGCTCCCAAGGTGTTCCATACCATCTGCAAGTGTCTTGTAACGCATCCTTTTACATTCGCCACCGCTGCTCACACACCACTCCCCTCTGCCGTACAGCCGTCAGTGGCTTCTCTTCTCCCTCACACTGAAAGCCCAGATCCTGTGGTGGTCCTCCAGGCCTTACTTCTTGGCAGGCCTTCCCCCTCTTGGTAATCATCCAGTGTCATTGCCACTTCGGGGTGCCTCTCACTGGGGTCCCTGTCTGGTTTTCTTGACATCTTTAGGTCTCTGCTCCAGTGCCACCTTACCAGACAGGGTTTTGAGCACTATGCTGGTGTTCCTTCCACCAACCTCCCCATATTCTGCTTGCTTTTTCTCCACTGAATTTTTTACGTCTGACAAACTGCTTGTTTGCACGGCTCCTTGTAATAGTCTCCTTCAGGGACTTCCACTCCTACCGTTGCACTTCTCCCAGTGATTGGAGTCATGTTTTAAAGTTAAATCAGATTGCAACCTCAGCTCACCTTCCATCTCCTTCCCGTGCCACCCCCAGCTCTTTACTTGGACCACAGTCAGGAGGAAGGGCAGGAGACTTTGTGCATCTGGGGCAACGAGGGCCCTCCTGGCCGTGGGATGGATCTGGCCGGCGAGTCACTCACATTGTGTCTGCATGGCTCTGCGTCCTCCTAATACATGCACACCCGTGTTTAGAACGCTTGCAAATCTTGCAGATAGGGAAATAAGGTGAGCGCCATGTCTTTGCAGTATTCTGTTGGGACATTGTTTAATAAGTCTACCCCACGACTATTTAAATTCTTTATTTATTAGAATTCTCAGATGTAGTAATATTATATGTTAATTATATAACTTTTTTTTTGTCCCCAGAAGAGATAAAAATAATTTCTACTAGAAACAAATAACTTTAAAGATATGGTTTATGGTTGTGTAGGACTTAACCTGTTTTGTGTCTAACCTAGAACTCTTCCTTTGTCTAACACCCGTTGATAAATTTCCTGTACACATAGTGGTTTTTCAGAGGCTCTTTTAAGCAGTCTTAACATCTGGTCCACTCAATCTGGAATGATTGGCTTATTCACGAATCAGTAGAATAACTCTGGTAAATGTCCAGTTCATGTTTATATCAGTCATACAGTAACATTTTTAAAATTATGCTCCCATTTTATTTTTTTAAAGATTGATTTATTTTGAGAGAGTTAAATATAGAGATGGAGAGAAAGAGTGAGAGTGAGTTCTTCCATCCACTCGTTTGCTGCTGCAATCGCCAGGGCTATGCCAGGCCAAAGCCAGGAGCCAGGAGCTTCCTCTCAGTTTCCCACTTGGGTGCAAGGCCCCAAACACTTGGGGCATCTTTCGTTGCTTTCCCAGGGAGCAGGATCAGTAGAGGAGTAGCTGGGACTCAAACCGGTGCCCATATGGGATGCCAGCATTGCAGGCAGCAGCTTTACCCACTGTGCCACAATGCTGGCCCCCAAAATTATATTTTTAACAACTCTCAATGCAAAGAGTTTGCCTCTGATGCTTTCTCAGATGGTGCCTTTCTGTGGAGGCTTTCCATGGCCATGCTGTGTACAATAAGATCCCATGTAGCTGATCTACATGGCCTAGTCCTTCCTCTTTGTTTTATTGTTGTTCTGTATCGTCGTATTGCCCCTATTGTTTTATTATGACTTATTTTCTGTCTTCACACCAGAGTGTTAACTCTGAGAGATGAGGAACTTGCTCTCTCTATGTCTAGAGAGCAGTGCTTGGTATGCAATGAGTGCTCAATTAATAGTGTTGGGTGAGTGAATGAACAGGTGTGCACGGTGTTCCCCAGAGCAGTTACTTTGTGTATATTGTACTTAGCAACCTCAGACTTGGATTTGCAGTTTCTGTTAAAAGGCACAGCACTGAGTACTGAGGGAACTTAGTCTTTTTTTTTTTTTTTTCCTGTTTCCTTTGAATGACAGCCTGGAGGTAGAACAGAATGCAACATTTAAAATTTTAGTTACTTATTGTAGTGATATCTGGAAATTGATTTCACAGATAAAATCCATGATTTATTGCAGGTAATGTTGAGTTAAATTTTGGGGGTGGGCAGTTAATCACCTCTCACGGAGTCATTTTAATAGGAGTATGAATGAAGACGTGGGTAACTCAGCGTGAGCGATAATCGGTAAATCTCAGTGTCTGCCACACACACCCCGAGTTGGTGCACGTGTGCAGAAGGCCTTCAAGTTCTTCAAAGAGTTCATGGAACATACATCTTTTGATTTCATTGTTCTGCAGATACTTGAAAATAACCTCATATGTCTTAGATACTTTCTAAATGTGTTTTCAACACAAATATTTTAAGTGTATTGTAAAGATTCGATTTAGCAAGAATTTAGAAAATCTTGGGGGTCATTGAGCTCCTTTCTGTAGTCTGATTCCCCATGAGGATGTAGCTTTTTCTCAGTTGGCATGAAGGTAGTTCTCCCTAGTGATGTCTTAAACAGGGGATGTGATTAAGCTTGTCAATGTCAGGGAAGTCCTCTATAATTGAATACATCCAGGATGAGTGTTAGTAACGTGGATTTTTAAGTAGTGTATACACACACATGCATCTGTTTCTGTGTGGGAGTAAATGTGTGTGAATGAATAATTTCTCCTTGCCAGTTATTCCTCAGATATTTTGAAGTTAATATTTTTATCCCATATTTTGTGTAGAATATGGCAATCTTTTAAAAATCATTTCAATGTCTCTAGCCTACCAGTCTTTTAAATATTCATGGGCTTTAGTGGAATCGGTTAAGTTTTCCTTTCTATTTCCTGCCATGACAGGTATAATACAGCGGTGCCTGCATCTCTGTGGCATCCTAATGAGTGCAGTGCATTGAGAAGTACAGGATCTACTGACGGGACCGGGTTCTTCTTGTTGTGTAGCCTTCTCCTTCAGACATGTTAGTTTGCACATATAATTACAAAAATATGTGTATTCTGAGAAATGTGGACAGTGAAGAGAAAGGAAAGCAAAATCCATACCTTTTACCACTCTGAACATTTTGAGTATTTTAAGCTTGATTTTCAGAATATAGGCTTCAAATTTTCAAGTTTGAAAGGAAATCAGCTCTTTGACTTAGGCTAATGTTGGAAGTGTCTGGATTTTAGTCTGACTAGAACAGTTAATAAGTAGAATATTCACAAAGACTTTATTGTTGATTATTTTTGGAATTTTCATTAATCTAAAGAGTGCAGGTTACATGTATTTCATAGGTAGAATTCCAAGAAAGTAACTTCATGGTCTCCCTCCCTCATCGCCTCTCCCAATCCCCCTTCTTCCTTCCTTTTTGTTTTCTGTTTAATGTTTGCAAGGTTTTGGAACCAGCCCTCTGCATGACTAAATGCTAACTGTTACAGAGGCCTCAGCCAGTGTTCTGGTAGGCGATATGGTCTAATTACCAGGATGGGGTGGGGGGTGTGAATGTGCCAGAACAGAAGGAAGCCGCAGACACAGAATATGCGGTACAATGGGGGTGTGTGCTCCGTCCCTTTCTTCCTGTTCTGTCCAGGGTGTGTAGCCTCAGCAGGGGAAGCAAAGTGAGTCATGCGGCGTTGGTTGGGGAAGGCTATTTCCAGGACTTTCTCAGATCTTGAGCAGAGAGCTCCGCATCTCAGGGCAGCTCGGGTTCCAGCGCCTTTTGTCTTCTTTCTCTGACTCCCCTTGCAAGTAGGTCATTGCCTATGAGCAGCGCTCAGGAGCTTGGCAGCCTCATAGACAGCACAGGGCCTAACACTGTTGCATTAAAAATGCAATTAACAGACACAGCTGGTTACTGAGTGATCGTCTCTGGTAGTCGGTGTTTGTAGCTATGGTTAGCTCTGGGAATTTTCTGTGTAAGCTTTTTGAAGACTGCGCCCATTCTTCCAGATTCCATTTCCTATTGAAATGCCTCCTGGTTACAGTAGCTTGATTATTCTGCTTGAAAATTCAATTAAAAATAAACCCTGCTGTTAGGTGAAAATAGTATTCCAGAGGACCTGAATTGATGCCATAAATGGATAATACCTATCTTCTGGTGTTGATGCTACTGATTATATTAATAGACATTCTCATTATTTTTATTCTGATGGTGGACAGTGAGGCCCTTGGTTCAGAGGCTTGGTTTTACTTGTGCCGTGTAGTATTTGATTAAGGGTAGATTAACTCAGTGGCTTGATACTCCTGAGTTTTAGCTTAATGGCCTGGTAAGTAAGGAATTAACCAGTTTTGTATAGGTAATGATGATGGAAATGTACATTCAGCCTAGATGGAAGACATCATGTGTCTTCATCTTTTTTTTAGACATGTTTGTACTTATTCATTTAGGTTATTTATTTATTTGAAAGTCAGAGTTACAGAGAGAAAAGGAGAGACAGAGATCTTCCATCCACTGTTCACTTTCCCAAATAGTCGTGATGGCCAAGGCTTGGCCAGGCCAAAGCCAGGAGCA